ATANCAAAATGAGATAATATAAAATATATAAATACATAATAAAAAATAAAAAATAAAGTATTTAATGCACAGAAAGAAAAAAAATTATAAAAAAAAATTTAAATATGTAAAATTATTATAATTATTATGGTTTACTTTTTATTTCAATGAGACGATTGGTGTTGTTTTGAACGGACGATGACGTCAATATCGGGCTCCAAATTGCTAACTTTAAGTCTTAAATTATTTTCTACGTTTAATCTACTTCTACTCGTATATTTATTTTTTGTGTACAATAAGTGAGAAAATGTATTTTCGCACAGATATGTCGATACAAAAGTTATTAGAAACTGTAAAGCTTGTGCGGACAATGCCGAGTATTCTTGTTTCACGTCCAGCCAAAAATTCGTGATGTTTTTGATTTTGAAAGTGCTTTTTAATAATAATTCGTAGCAATTTTTTTTTAAGATTTTCTTCGTGTACCACCTATGAGCTCTCCGCGTACCACAGGTTGAGAACCGCTGCTTTAATTCATAAAAAATATACATAATATAATGTAAATTTAATATGATTAACATTCATCACTGTTTAAGTATAGGTAGATAGTAGGTACGCAGTAAAATTGTATATTAACCAGGATGCAGATATTTTTTTTTAAATTTATTATTATTTATCTAGTTATATATATATATATATATATATAAATATGTATTTGTTATCTTGGACTCGACTGTATGTCGGTTAAACATACGTTAAGTCACTATTAAATTATACGTTTATTTACTCAATAAATAATATCAAAATAAGTCGTCAGTTTATCGGAAAAGTAATGTTTATTCAGTCCAAGATAACGAGAAATGTATATTGACAAATGATAACTAATGTTTTAATTCGTAGACTTTTATCGCTGAATATATAGTTATATTGAGGTGAGGTGAAAGGGCACCTCGTAAACGAATCCATTCCGGAATGTCGACCGCATATATTGACACCAACACACGCTTTTACGGTTTCGAAATAACATCATATCGTCGCAACAAAGTGTGTTACACGAAAACGTCGACATTCCGTAACAAAATATCAAATGCAATACTACAGGGACTCTTAAACTTGTGTAAGTCACGGACTCTTGATGAAAGGCTTTAAGAAATCGAGGGCTGTCTTACTTATTTTCTATGGAATACATTTTTTTTACCAAGTATTTCATGTTATTCCGGTACGAATATCGGAGGCCCTCAGTGCGCCTCGCAGACCACCGTGTAAGAACCACTGCGGTGATACGACGTTTCGGTGTAAACGAATTTATAAAGATTTCTGTAAGGATATAGCAACCACCCCGAATTATTGAGTCAGCCACGACACTGTCGCTTTGTTCAAAAACTGGTTTTCAGTGTGTGCGTACGATTTATACAGATCGTTGTAGAGAAACATGTTAAAGGTCAAAACTATAATCGTTTGCAGGTGTGGAATTCCAAAAATTCCAACCGAACGACTAGAAGGGTCGTGTGGGCAAGTGTTCGTTATTGTGTGATGAACAACAGTCGAAGACCGGTTTCGTACCACACTCATCCCCCTTTCCATCGCCCCAGTCAAAACCACTCTGGACACTACGCAGTAAATTATCGAAGGCGCCGCCACCCTAAGTCGTCAAAAAAAAACCCATGATCGCATCCTACGCACTGATCGGTTGTTATACTCGTTGTATGATAATAATATTATGCGTATACTAGTCGTAATAAAAATGATTATTTTTTGTTGCTCTTCCACAGTAAGAAAAATAAATATTGAATACGTGACCGTGTCTGATAACGTGCTTCGTATGATCAGTCTTGTAAAAGATACAGATAATTGTTTTGAAGAGTATTTGAAATCCCAGTAAAAAAAGTATTCGAGTATGTATACAAATACATCGAAAAAGTATTCATGGGTACGTTGAAATACCCACTGGCTACTTAAACATTTTTTTTTAGATATATGTTTTTACCATATAAATCAAGAGAAGCAATTTTCATTTTATAGGCTAGGATTAGTGCTCGACCGACGGTCCTCGTCAGCGCAAAGTAGCTGTACGCGAGTATCAACTTTTCAGTGCTGCACTGTAGTTGTTCATATGCATCCTTTGATGTAGCTACGCTAGACTGACGTCAGCGCTGACCATCGATCGAGCACTAATTCTAGCCACAATACATTTTGCACGGTATCATTTGGTGTAACTATCAAAATATATCTACACATCTGATTTTTTTGTCGAAGTATTAGAATTTTTGATCGAGTAGAATTCGCAGAAAAAAAATTGAATATGAATACTTTTACTCGAGTAATTTACAAGACTGTCTATAGTGTTCGTTCCGATCCGATGTCTGGTACCGAGTAATTTTTTATGAGTCACTGAAAAATTAAAACGGTATTAATATGCATTCTTGTAAAGTAGAATACAAGTATTTTTATAGTATTCTAAATTTAATTTTTTAAAGTTTTTTTACAAAACTCAAATACTTATATAAATATAGGAAATATATATATATTTTATATACTGTCACCATTGAGACGACGAACAATTATAGAAAATTGGTATCGCATCGCATTTATTCCTCTTCTCTCCGCCCCAGACCAAATGACTGTAACAAAACAGTAAGTGGTCACATTTGGCGCCGTCCTATGTCGTCAAATTAATTTCATTGTTGTATCCTGCACATGTTGGTCGTTTTGCTCGTTTTATAACAATTATAATAATATTATTATGTGTACCTATTTTTCGTAATAAAAATAATTGTTTGCGTGCCATTGAACATAAAAAAATGTGGCAAGTAGAATAAGGTAATAAATATCTTGGGTCGCCGACACACAAAGGTTGAGAACCTCAGCTCTACTTAATATTACGAGGTTTAATTGTGATCAGTGTGACACTACAGATGACTAATAATAATTGATTTTCGTAGAATAAATATGATAAGGAAACGTGTGTGTGATTCTACCGGATGCGATTTATGAGGTACCTATTCCAATTTCCGATAGCAGGGTATAACTGTGACGAATTTCATCTGATTCAATTGAAAAATATCATCAAGAAAATAATTGTTGATTGATTAACAAAAAGTTATTAACAAACGTTTGTAACCATTGAAAATATTTTCGAAGAATATGTCTTTAGATTACTATCCCTGCTCGCTCAGTTTCTTGGTGGGGGAGTGGGACACTGCAGCTGCGGCCGACTGTGCGCGATGCGCGACGGGAGATGTTTCTCGAAGGTGTGACCGTTTTTCAAATCGTCCATCGTTCAGTTCTCTTTGACCACGCATTCTGGTAAGTAGCTAAACATTTTGATATCTTTCCAGTGCGTGTTCACTTTTTTTTCGTTCCTGTAATACATTACGTACCTACCGCAGTCGTATTCAATGTTATTATCGATGTTTTTTTAATGTTTTTAAATTCTCAAATATTTTTTTTGTAGATTTTGTTTTGATTTTATCGAAATCGATTCTATGTATTATAATATTTTCGTTGGCGTGTGCGACTACTGAAAGTTTTTTACGAACAAGATTACGTATTTTGTACAACTATTTCTCGTAATAGTTCACTGTTTATTGAAGTTATATCGATTCCTGTCTACACCACAAGGTAACATTATTTTACAAATACGTATAATAAAGTGTAATTGTCAGAAATGTTAAATTTATTTACTAGACAGTGCACAATAATAATCAAAGAATTGATGGGTTTTGAAATTAAAATAATATATAAAATTAATACTGAATGAAAAATAAAATTAAAATCAGCATAATTTATCGATGAAAAAGTATTAATAGGTAGTTAATTTTTTGTCTTGTATTTTATATCACATACTAATTTGGTACTAATTGGATTACCTCTAAATTTGTTTGCTTTTTATGCTGTTTTAAATTCATTTTTATAATAAATGATACATTGATTTCCGACATACTTCAAAAATGAACATCCATCGACCGTTTACATTTTGATTTTTGAAGGATATGTATATTATTTTATATTGTTACCTATACTCTATTCCAAATAAGTTTGGAAAAATGTACGACGAAAACGCGTCCGGTTTCGCGCAGGTATGTCACGTGATCTGCCGGTGGCGAGCGCTGTTGTCGACGATCCGGTTGTATACAGCCTGACTGCATTTTCTCAACCGTCAACACTTCGCTTGCCTACGTCCTGTCGAAAACGTGCTCCGCGTATACGCATCACATTCATCGAACCTGCTTTCGGCGTTTTTATTTGTTTGTTAGTTTGTTTTATTTAAACAATTTATTTTTTTTAAATTTGATTTCATAAGATGAGTGATAACGAGCTGTGGAACCATTGTTATTTTAACAGACCGTATACACGGCGGTGAGCTCCGGCCGCCGACCGATCACGACGAATGCCGAATCCGTAGCCAATCACAGCGTACCCGCATGCGCGATTTTTTCCAAACTTATTTGGAATAGAGTATACCTATTGAATACGACAGGAACAATAATTGTTAGTAACAAACTAACTATTAGTGGCGTCACAATGTCGCCACCCTATCAATTGTTTAATCATTATTAACTGCAGCTGTATAGTGTCATCTACTATGATTGGACGTAGAATCAAGCCTTATCTAGTCATAAATATCAAATTTTTTGATAAGACTGTTATACATTTCTAGTGTAGTCTTATACATATCTTAATGAATATTTACTTAAATTTTAGTAAAAATTAAAACAAATTCTAAATTGCTTTTGTCATAAATGATATAAAGACAATACAATGAACACATCAACTACATTTCTTAAGAAAATTCAAAAATTGCAAATTGGTCTCACGGAGCTTGTAAAAATAAAGAGATTAAAATGATGACCAAGTAAATTTGGCTAAAAATTCAATTGATAATGTATTTTACATAGTAATGATTAAATTAGTGTTGGTGGTAGTTGGTGCTGTGATAAATAAAATTTTTTAAAAATGCTTTTAAACCTAACCTTTATTTAATATGATTTATTATGTACTTATAGAGTGAAGTGAATATTTTGAAGAGTCACCCCAAAATCCAACTTCATATTTTTTAGTCATATTAGTAATAGACAAAAATGGAAAGCGGAAGCACTAGCCAGTGCAACGTCCAAAACAATCGGATAATACAGAACGACCAAAATAAGCAAATACAACTACGCGAACAGGTAATTATGAGCTCTCAATATTATAGTACGAGTATATAGTCTTCAAAGAACTGTGTGCATAGAGCCACACAGTCTCTGATTACAAGTTAGATTTTATACGAATCTTGGTTTATCAGGATTATTGTCTTACATTTTTGTGTTAGGGATAAAATTATCCGTTCTCAGTTTTGAAGTAATTTTCTAGAGCTGTTATTGGGAAAATTTAGTCTTGGTATTAATTGTCTGTTATTACCATAATACGCAGGCACTCCTTTGAGTGAAAATTGTTTCTTTCTAGAACTATTGATTGTATACTTACTTCTTAAACCGGACAGAAAGCCATTGTCTACAGATGTTGTAGTTTCAGATGTCTTATTTATTTTCTTCTTCTTGGTTATTGGTCTCTGGTAGTATTTGTCTCACATACTTTTAAAGTAAGTTTACTCTTGTAGTACCTACTAGGAAAATATGATGTTAGATGTACCTATTACATGTACTTCATCTAATCAGTGTGTGGTAAGTCACGTATACGGCGTTACCTACCTATCTATTTAAAGTAGGTAAGACATTCTTTATATCAGAAAATACACTTTTCTAAAATTATTTCTTGCACATAATTTTACTTCGTTACATGAAAGTGATATAAGAAAAAAAATTATCACATTGTTATAATTTTTTAAAGTTGTTTTTCTTTAAACGGCTACATACATTTTTAAATTGGTAAATTGTATATTCCGACGTAGGCTATTATTCATAGTGTTCCGATCTATAAAAATACAATTTTGGACAAGTAGGTAGTTAATTAGTTAAAATTTATTTAAAAATGAGCGGAATAGTGGACCGACATTTTGGACACTGCACTTCGAGCGTTTAAACTTTAAATACGTATATGTTATAACTCATAACTCATAAAGTACTAGTCCAATATTTGGTTTTTATGTTTCGAAGTTGGAATAAAGAATTATAAATAGATGCTGTCGTTAGAAGAGTAAACAATTAGAACTGCAAAAAAATATTTTCAAAAATTGAAAATTGTTAATAATTTATCTTATGCTAAATTAATAATATGGTATGGGCGTCGCCAGCTGATAGATTGACACGGAAGCGGCCGGCGCGATAACGAAAAACCAGAGGTTCTCCGTATTTGGATGTTAGTACCAAAAAACAAATAGTGTCTTAAAATAGTAAATATCCAACTGTATTAGTATATTCCACAGTTTCCATATCACATTAATCTATTAATATTGTCTTTGTCAGCTGAGGTCATTCATTTCATACATTTATGATAAACAACTTGGTGATAGGGCGGCGTCGAGCTGCCGAGAGTTGAGTACGCCTTGACTAGTTTAAGCTACAGCTACTGAAAATCGCCTCTGCGTCAATTTACTTGGCAATGACCGTTGAAGTATAACTATGTGATAAACTACATGATCACTAGCCTTATGTAACGATTACATAGAAAAAGGGCCCCTTTATATATTTACTAGTTGACCCTTTGCACTTCGAAAATGCCAATTTCATGTGATTCTAACTTTGTTCAATTCGTTTTTAAAATTTGGTTTAATGGTGCCAGAATTTAAAAATGTTATCGGCCATCTTTAAACTGAAAATACTTGTGCATGTACCACTTCAAAATGCGAATTCGGGAAAATGATTTCTTAGTGCATACTGCTATACTTACACGGTAGAACGAAGGATCCACGAAAATTGAAAGCCTCAATCTATCATTGTTTTGGTTCTACAGTCTACGTTTATCAGTCGGGACACGTTCGATTATAATATTATGTATTAGCCATGCCACCCGGCGTTGCACGTTAGACTCGCTATAGTGATTATGCAGTATATTATCACTAGGGAACGAATTTTATTGTAATAAAAAAATCAAAATATGTACATAAATATGTACTTATTTTTATTGAAATATGTAAAAAAAAATCAAAATATGTAATAATCGCTTAACAGAAAAAGTACCAAAAGTAAGTTTAAAAATTTTATCTCTTATCTAATTAATAATTATTAAAACAATGCGAAACTACATATTCTCTAAGATTTAAAAACGTAAAATGGCCGCGATTTGGTCGGAAAATGTTTTTGTATTGACTGAATTAACGTTCCACATCAACTGACGTAACGATAGCATACCGATTTTTCACAACATTTACAGTATAAAACTTACCCATCACATTGAAATATTCCATTCGGAAATTCTTTTAAATATGCGGCTACCTTATTATTGATTGAACTTGCAACTTTAGGCATTCTAAACAATTTTATAAAAAAAACAAGAAAATTTCGATGTAGATATGAAGAAAAAAACGATGCAAATAATTACGCCCGCCAGAACAGTAACTATAGACATACGTCATACACTGAAAACTGAAGACTGTAACATTGAACGTTACCTACATACTTGTCCACAGTGTATAATACGATAGCAGTGTATAAACTATAAAGTACGTAAGTCCATTTAGAGAACGTCGATAATGTTTATCATCATTGAAAATTACAAATATTATTATTTTAGGCTTTCATCGACAACGTATAATATATAGACCTTAGGGTATCTGAATTCCATTAAGATAAGGCAAATAATCTTTGACGTCGTTGTAAATTGACAAAAAAAACCAAAAATACCCAAATATTTACGAAATATTCAGTTATTTGCAAAATATGTGAATATATGTATTTTTACAAAAATATGTAAAAATATGTAAAGTAAAATTGGGCTTATTTCAATAAGAATGATCTGAATCGTGCACATTTTTTATCAGATTAAAAATATCTCATTCCAATAAAAATATGTATTTACAATAAAATTCGTTCCCTAATTATCACTTATCAGATAGGCAATCCATACTTTCGCCGCATACTTAAATGTATAATTTCTAACTCTAATGTTTCAAAGTTATACCAAGTTTGTTATTTTTACTTAATCTAACCTACGGGTAGGTACAATGTACCATCCTGTGGTTTTTGATATCGCTGTAAAACCTGACTTTGCCCGAGAAAAAATGATAAATTAATACAAAATACTGCGTTATATTTGTGTATCTTGGTTTCAGTAACCCAGTTCAGACTGTAATATGCCAGAAACTTTCACGGGAGTTTATTCAACAACTATACGAAAAGTTTCGTCGCGATCCGACATTTATTCGCTTTTCTATACCTAGATAGTATTATATTAAAGATAGCCCCCCTAAACTTCGTTGCCCATAAAAAATTCCAAAATTTAAAATTTAAATAATTCAAACTTAGTGTTATTTATTACTTAATATACCCGGCTTAGTTATGTTCAAAACTTAAAAAAAAAAATTAGTTATGCGTTTGTAGTTTGAACCCGATAGGACGTCTAGTTAAGATACTAGCTGAATACGAAGTACGGTGTTAAATTATTTAAATTTTTTTTTTTTCGGTACCCAATTAATTTTTCCAAACTAATTTTTCACTAAAACCTTCCCTGAGTCTATTCCTATTTACTAGTGAAAACTGTATTAAGATCCGTTGAGTATTTTTTGAGATTATTGAGAACAAACAAACTCTGTTTTTTTATATGAAAGAAAGATTTAAAAATTGTTTGTCTTATGTTGCTTCTGAGAGGTCCATAGTACAACATGCTCAGTGACTCAGTGACATATACAGGGACGGGATTAGAGGATTTAACCTTCAATAAACATTGGTAAAAAATACTTGAATATTCATTAATAAATCATTCTTCGATAAATATTTTCAAAATCAGTTTCCACCCCCCCTTCCCCCAGAAAATTTTTTTTGGATATTCTAATATATCCAATGTAATTTCCATATTTACTTTCTTTTTGCAAGTTGGGGTGAATATTCCAATATTATAAATCTTTAAGTGCTACTGTTTGCTTATTAATAGAATCATCGATAAAATAAAAAAAATATAAAATATATTTAAAATCACTCCCACAATATTGTATCAAAAAAATAATAATAACAATAACCTATAAGCACAATACCACAGAAAATCGATATCGGAACTCAACAACAAAGATAGAAAAAAGATAATGAAGATTGATGAAAAAATCCAAGAAGGTTTCAAAAAACTTGTTAAATTCATTGAGTTCCTTAAAAGAATGTTAAAATACAATATACATACAATAAACATAGAAAACATTCTCTTATTATATCTTATGGCCATGCTTTATTTTGTTCAAAATTAATAAAAACAATTTTTGTTTTTAGTTTTAAAAAATAGATACCTTTCAATCTATTACTCGTATAATCAATAATAATAAAAAAATATGTTAAACATTACATTACAAAAATAATATTATATCGCACAATTCCATGACCTTTTTATATCAAAATAATTGAAAAAATAAAATGATAAAAAATACAATAAAATTTCCCTATAGGATTTTGTTTGGTAAATGATTTAATACAATTTAAATTTTCATGGTTTTTGTTTAGTTTTTATAATATAGTACCTATATTTTGAGTGTAATTATTATTTTATGTAACTACCAACTAACCCATTGAAACTAACTAATTATAAATCAAAACTATCAATAAAATTTAAAAACTATGTTGAATTGCAAGCATTATATATTTTCTACTTCTTCAGGAAAATAATTATTTCACTGTGTTTTCATCTCCTACCAGTCATCACACTAGGTATTAATTTATTGCCTCTTGTAAACGGTGCTTTCAAAGACTGTTCAGTTACATTTTCAACATTTAACATATTAGAATCATATATTTTATACGTTCATAATAGAGAATATTTGAGTACCTATTGATAATGAAGAAGATGAACACAATAATCAGAGTAATAAAATGTTGCAATGTACTCATTAGGATTGTAATTATTTTACTAAAAATAAAGCCACACTCCACTTTCCTGGCTTAACATTCAAAGCATAATATACCAAACTCAACATTGCAATTTATAATTGACAATTACAAGAGATACAATAAAACAGACATTGAAAATATAGTAAAAATGGTTGCGCAAAAACACCGATAGAATTACCCTGTTTAAAAGGAAAAATGGGTTTAGATTTTAAGAGGAAAGCAGTACATGCGTATCTTTGTCCCTATATTAGACCCATATAATATTATAATCTGGGCTTAAATGGTAGTAATAAACTTTCTCAATACCATTACATACCAATAAAATCATCTTTAGAAAATGTATTTAAATTTGATTCTGTGTTTGGGCAGTATACAAATAGAAAGGCCATCATATATTCTATGATATAATTCATTTTTTATTATAATATAACATACTAAGTTTTTATGGTTTATTCCCTTAATTGTTGGTGATAAAAATATAAAATCAATAGAAACAATTATGTATGGAAAATTAAAATAAAACATATTCAATATATAGAGATACTATGTTCTCCGTCAATATCTAATGAGCAATTAATTCATTTAGACAGTTTAATAAAAATATAAGAAGGTACCTGAGAATTAGATTAGAATTTGTTGAAGTACCTCTTCGTTCAAAATATCAATACTTGGAACACTACTAACAACTTATAATATGAGTTTTCGAGTCGCTTATGGCCGTGAACATCGAACACAAACATGTATCCTGCAAAAACTATATTCGGTCATCAAGGTTCAACTCAATATCATAAAGATTAATGCATTGTTCTTAGCTACGAGACAAATTTGGTTATTTCAAAACTTTTTCACATTAAAAGTTATGCAATAGGGTTTCAACGTGATGGCAACTGGATGATGAATTTCAAATCTATGTATTAAGCCTTAGTGGTAACTAAAGAGCAGATTATTAGTTTCTTTAAAAAAAGAAAAACACATGTAAAAACCTGAAAATCCATTTTTTAGTGATAACTATATTATTATCATTCCACTTTCAAATCTAAAAGATTGCACGTCCTATTCAATATAATATCCCACATAACAATCGCTCAGTAATAGTATTAAAACACACAATACATTTATAAAATAGTTATTATCCTGTGTTATATTAGATTATTAATGAATTTTATTTTAATGAATTTATTTATTTTTATACTTACAATGCACATTTTACATAACAATATTAAATTTCTGTTACACAGGATTCATTTCAAAAAGTGAATAGTTTGAATAATAATAATGAAAACTATGTTGAAAATAATCAACCTGTAACATCAACAGATGAAGAATTGCCAATGCAACTAGTTTTAAACAAATTAAGACCATATTTATCACTACCAGTCGATGAAAAAAATGTAATCATATTCCTTCACAATTTAGGTGTGAAGAGTATTAGTGATTTACTTCTATTAGATTTTGAAAAAGATCTACGAGGTATAATAAATGTAATCCAGTGTCGTAAGTTAAGACAAGAACTACTAAATGGTACGAGTAAAAATTATTATGCTAAGTAAAAATATTCTTAATTAATTTAACTAGTGATTTAAAAATTGCAGATATTACAATGCAATATGTTAATGCACAATTTGTAATGCCACATATACCTATTTCGTCAGCAGTAGAACAGGCCCCATGGACACAATTCAATGCTGTTTCCACAATGCCACAGTTCACAAGCAGTGTAATTAAATCTTTGGAAAACGGTACCGTGTCAAATGATGATCAACTTGAGATAGTTGAAGCATTGTCCAAATATCTGTTGGGTGTCGTAGAGTAAATATATCTGTTTTTGAATTAATTTTTAAATTCTTTTATTTTATTAATTGATTTTAATATTTAGAAATCCAGGAATGCGGGAATGTCGACAAATTGTAAGCTTGTTGGAAAAACAATTTCCAAATGGGTTTAGAAATAAAGAATCTAGATTTAATGTGGAATATATCTCAAAACAAGTTGTAAGGCGTATTTATTATTTAAAAAGCAAAAAACAACAATTAGATCTAAAGCAGAAGGGCTTATTGCCACAAAAAAATTGTGATAATTCAAAAATGTCCAAACAAAAAAAATTGAGATTTGGAACTCATCCTGATAGATATTTGCCAGTTGATAAAGAAGAAGGGCAAATGTTTAGTCACCAAGAACAAGTGAAAATTTGGTTAAAATCAATGTATCTAGTATATTATGTAACAAAATTGGAAACTATGGGCACAATAAAGTGGAGCTTTATCATTGGGTAAAATATAATATTATTATATACAAGATGTAAAAATAATACCCGTCAATTGAAATAACTTTTGTTCTAATCAAAATTTTTAATTTTTGTTTATATTTAATGTATAGATCATTACTCTACTCGCACTATGTGTAGTATAAAAATTTTGTTTTTCATTCTTTAATACAGAAAAAAAATATGGAATTAATTTTTTTTTGAAAAACATAAATGAAAAATTTCTAATTTTAAATCTAGTTTTTAGAAAATGTTTGACTGTAAAAACACTTAAACCATGTGGTTATTTTTACAATTTTTTGATTTATCATTTTTTTTGCTAAGTAAAGTTATTTCAATATTAAAAAGCACAAAATTCAAAAAGTATAAACTTTTTAAAAAATATTTTAAGAGAATTTGGTATTAGTTTAAGTCTAATTGTATTTTAAAAAGTTTTGACTTTACAAATTAATAAGTCTTACGTCAAAAAATTTGAGATTTTAAAGAGTCATAAAATATAAACCACTTAAATTAGATAAATGGTTTTGCAATCAACGGTTATCTAAAAAATGGATTTACAAATTTTCAAATTTTTCAAATATTAACATAAAAATGTGTAATATTAAACATAGCAATGACTGATGACACAATAAATTATAATATATAAAAAACAATTTTAACATATTGAATAGAACAAAATTTGTCAGGTGTTCCTGTTACACCCTATATTATATTTTAGGGCATTGAGAATTTAGTATTTTTTTGACAAACCTAGGATCTTTGATAAAAGGAAATAGGTTTTCAAGTTATTTGCATAGTAATTGGGTCCTTTAGAAATACTGTTTTAAAATCATTAACCATAAATATAATAATACAGGTTAAACAACATTAAATTATTTTTTTATTATTGGACATATTTATATTATAGGTATTTAAATATCATTGATATCTATGTACAATTCATTAAACTTTTAAAACGAGTATCAATTCATTATGCTTATAAACCAAATCTTCCCACAGGAAAATGAGAGAAACGTATACTGCTCAAAGAAAAATGATAACAAATTCAGAGCCAATTTATAAAATATTAGAGGATTATCCTTTCATTGGCAAGGTACCTAGTGTGGCCAGTATCCCTTCTATGGCCATCCTTTTTTTTTTTTAAATAACTATGAATAAATCAAATACATATTAAAAGAAAAAAATTCTAATGATGGCCATGGTTGGTGACTTAAACTAGCTTTTAATAACTATTATAAATTATTAAAGATAATCTTAAATTTAATGTAAGATAAATGTCTACAGGGATTATTTTTGAGGGATCATTTTTTCCACTTAATAAACAAAGATGAAACGATATTGGAGAAATGTGGAAAGCGAATTCCTTTACTCTTAAAGTTTTTTGAAGCAGAAGCTGAAAAGGAACGGAAAGATATTGACCTGCAAATGCGATTGAAGACTATAATAAGAAAAAACAAAATTAGAAGTGATAATAATAATGCATTTTTAACTATAATATTATGCTGTATGGCTATTGTGAAAGAGAATAGTGACCGGATGATTATCACATTAGAAGTAAATATCAATATCCACTTATATGTTATAGGCTTTTTCTATACACTGATTGAAATATTAAGTATTTTTTAAATTTAATTATAGGACTCCGATAGTTTTGATGAATTACAGTCACATGCAAAAATAATCCCAACGCCTGTAGTGGCTTGTATGGGTAAGATTACACTTAAATAAAATTAATAAAATTTGCTTTTTCAAGCATAAATGTCCCACACTAAGCATCCAACATTCTCTTCAAAATTTGTAAATTAAAAAAAACCCTGTTGCTCACTGACAATTTTAGGTACCTTTGGATATTTTGAAGATTCCAATCGTAATTTTGGTGGCTAATGTTTCATGTCTTATAAATAATAATAAGTAATTTAACAAATTTACAGGTGACATATATTCACAAGGAAAATGTTTTGTATTTGTTGGTCAACATTGTCTGTGGCATGAACCAACTACATTTAATGAAGCATTTCAAATCATGTTTATGTCCTACTATGTTTTCAATTTGCTATACCCCAAAGAATTGGGGGCTACTTTACAGTTCATAGAAAAGTAACTTTTATAATATATAAAAATTACTAGGTACACGCCTACATTTTTTAAATTATTTTTAACTCATTTTACAGGTTTATGTTTAAAATAAATGATGAAGGCAATAGGGTTGAAACGAGACCTCCTGGTGAAAAATGTGTACCTAAACTACTTAAACTTGAAGAAGATTATGTAAGTTATATTGCACAAAATTGTACTTGTTAGTTTTTTTTTAATAAATATATTTTCAATGTTAGATAGAGGTAATAATATACATCTGATTTTTTGTATTTATTATTATTATATTACTCATGAGAAAGTAATCTATTTTTTTTTTTCATATAGTATACTTTATAGTGAGTGTCATTAATGGATGGCTTCTCACGACTCGTGTACTCATGTAAATATATGTTTAGGTTAGTATTTTGTACTAATGTTAATTGTATATGTTGTAACTCTCAGCGCATGTACTCATTGTGCCTCATAGGTACAGGTTGTTTATTTCAAATAAAGAAAAAAAAATATATAGTATACTATTTATATAATATTATTGTATTTTATGACATTCTTTTTTACAGGATTAAAATACTCATAATGAATGTATAATAAATGAATGTATTTTCTGTGTAAAAAATAAATTGTAAATACCTAGATATCTTAGCAAGTGTTTCTTTATTTTAGTAATTGTTAGTATACATTTAGAAGTAAACCTTGGTAACATATCTACCATTGATCTACCTATCTGATGTGTGGAAGTTTTTTTAAAGATATTCAATTTCTATACAAATTAGAAATTATTTTAGTTTAGTAAATGTGAACATGACAGACTAACGAATTAAAATTACCTGTAAAACCCAGTAAAATGTGCATAGCCTAAATAGATATATGAATTTTACTGCCATTAAATAAACATTTACAAGTTGAAAGTTAGTGAATTTCTCCTGATCACTATTAATATAAGTAGTAATACAGTAGAAGCCGCTTATTAGAAACACTTTGGGACCAAAGTGAAATGTGTCAATTAACCAATTGTTTCTAATAAGCGATTGGTTTGATTTGTGCTATGAAAAAAATATAAAAAATACGAGAAAAATGTATGTATGATTTAAAAAAACTTAAACGCGTTAGGACATTTTTAGATTTAGATTTTCAGAATAACAAAACACTTTCAAATCACCTTTACCTACTTGCGCACGCCGCAACTGAACTAACGATCCGCATAGGAAAGAGCATTTTCTTATACATCGTATAGAACGTACTGCACTTAAGGCAAAGTATAGTCCAAATATAAACGTAACAACAGCAAAGATCAGATTAAATTACATTCAATTTGTTATCGCACGGATAAATGGTGAATATGTCAACTACAGCCCTCCCTATTGTTTCAAATAACCGATGTGATGTTTCAATAATGATCCGTGTTTCTAATAAGCGGCTTCTACTGTATGTACTTAAAAGTCTGATGTAATAAATCGTGTAAAATATATAGACAAGTAAATCTTAACTATGACTTGCAGATCATTTTACACACCAAAAAGGTTAATGAATTATTACGACATTAAAACAATGTAGATTTACAAGTAGTATTTAGTAAATTTACATACATGGCATAATCAGGGCAGTATTACCGCTTAGGCTGTGTAGGCTAAATCCTATTGCGGCAAATCTTAAAGGGTGGCAAATTTTTTTTTTGGTGTGAGCCAAAAACTACGTTGAGATATTAGTGAAATATCAATACCTATGTGAATTAGGCGGTAAAATATCAATACTTACGTAAATTAGGCTGTAAATTTATTTCAGCCTATGGACCCTTAATCCGGATCTGGGCATAATCAACGTGTGTTGCCAAACATTTCGTTTAAATTTACACTTACAATGTCGCATGCAGAGCACATGGTTAAGCACATTGTAATTGTTATTGCATGTATGACACGGTATACCTAACGGCAACCAGAACGAAGTACAGGCACCGCTGCGACCGGTCTAAGCTCGACCACCACCACGGGTTACGACTTACGACCACGCGACTTTCCTTTCCCCAAAGGACAAAGGCACAAGATGGAAACGGGAAGACAAGTCGCGCTAGACAAGTACCGGTCGGCGGCGGCGACAGCGCGTATACCTGCAGTCCGCACACAGTTTTTTTCGTGTGTAACCATCATATAGATTTCTCATATAAAGTATATTATATGTTTAAGCTGAACAACTCACTCTCGGCTAGTGTCGAACGGCCAGAAAGGATTAATAAAGTCAACACTACGACGACAAGAGAAACCTGTGTGCATTTTTTTTTATTTCTTTATTTCAACGGCCTACTCACCGCGCAGTGCGACCGACCACCGCGACCGCAATCATCGTCGTAGCCGCGTTATTGTTATATAGGTATAAGGCATACCATTTAATAGTAATATTATTTAGATACTATAATATTCACTAACTATAATAATAATAATAATAAAAAAAAATTAATCTACGTAATAAACACCAAATTGACTAGCTTAAATCAGCTGCAGGTATGTGTAAGGTAAGCATGATTTTACAGTGAACGATACGAAAGAGTTGAGATAAGACTTGTAACAAAAAAAACAAGAGTGATGGAACGGCAGATGATTACTTGAATCTTTGATTTCTTGCGAGGTACACAAACTTTAGGCTGGAAAAGCTGCAGCGGGACTGGTCATGGGGTCACCCACAATACTAGTGTTTTCTAACAATTCACGTACCACGTACGTAAGTCCCCGGAAATCTACAAGGAAAGATTGGCGTGTCACGCACAGGATGAAAAATTAAAATTACAAGAGCCCATGAAAATCTCCAAAAAATGGTTTTGATCCCTCCTGCAGGGTAAATGGTTGCTACTTGCTATAATGATAATAATATTATTTATGTATATAATATATATTAGGTATACGTATGCAGTGGCGTAGCGAGGATTTTTTTTTTTGTAATAAAATGTAACTTGTGAAGGATTTTGCTCTCCCTGCAAATAAATTGTTTTAAACAATTAAAATATGCGTTTAACTTTAACCTCTGAATATTTATTTAAATTATATATACTAAAATATTTTTTGACATAAAAATGTTTGATTTTTAATACTGAAAACACCCTCCTGGCTGCGTCACTAAGTATATGTGCTTGCAGGTAATAATACAATGCATATTGACAAAAAGAACAGTTAGTAGGATCCCAGCCAGAAAAAGTTTAAAAAATCTTTTGTTTGCATACTTGGTGGTACAAGGATACCATGAAAATTTCAGTCATCTGGCTACAGACTCTGCGTTGATCGGCCAAACTGAATACGTTCGATTACACACACACACGCATATATATACATATATAGGTATATAACTAAAGATTATATTACAGTTTACAAGTTCAAAAACTCGTACGAGCGTCCAACTATTTTCGTTCAACATAATTTTTATGAGCGTTTAAACTTAGAATTTTGACAATATTCGTAAAAAACATGAAAAATACCAAATTACATTCAGTTAGAAATTCATAAAAACTCTTCTGTTTACATTTAAGATTTAAAAATTTAATACAAGATTCCTTCTAAGTCTGTATACCTTTATCAAAAAGAAAATTTCTACTGGAATGTCAAATTAAATTTGTATGAGTGTTTGAAGTTGAAATTTTTTAAACCCTTTATATTTACTCGAGCTTGTAACAATTTTCTTACTTAGTTTTAATTCGAAAATGAATTACTGTAGAAACTTGAAGTTTACACCATGTATTTATTTTATCAATTCATATACTTGATAACATTTTCAAAATATTTTTAATCATTTTGAGCACACTTTCAATTTTGAATTGTTTAATTTTTTTTTTTAATGTCAATAAAATTGTTTTTGTTTAGTAAAAACGCCTGAAAATTTAATAAAAAGCTCTGATATGTTGTTTCAATATCAGTTGAAAAATATTTTAAAAATACAATGACACAGTTTTTTTTTACAAGCATTTTAAGTTCAAATTTAAAAAAGTTTAATTTTAAAGTTAAGGATTGTAAATATAAAATAAGGACTCGCAGTTCATACTGTTACCAAAAAATCTGAAAATTGTAAAAATATGGTATTTTTAATAGATATTATATGTTTGATTTTGAACGAAATTAAACTTAGAATAACAATTTTAGTTATTTAATTTAATTTAAAAATATTTATTAGGTGTACTTCAAACTTTTGAAGTATTTCAAATGAAATATTTTCGGAAATTATTAATTTGACTCAGTTTTTTACTTACAGAAAAATAAATTACTTTTATAGGTAGGTACCTATAATAATATCATGAAATATTCATATTTAGTAATATAGACTTTCTTCAATCACAATCGTTTTTCGTACCTACACTATATGTATTATGATTTTATATCATTGAATTTAAATTTATCACGCCCATTACTGTGACTCACAAGACACCTAATGTACTGCAGAGTGGTACTGCAGACTTGCCCTTAATTTTGTTTTTATTGTTCAAATTGTTTTGTACCTTTAATTAATAACAAAATATTACTGGAAAACTTTGCAGGTATCTCATATAAGATTTTGTAGACGAAATGTAATATAATAATTAAAATAATATATTAATATCATTGTTACCATTATTCTTTTTATTAATACAATTAAATAATTTCACTATATTTTTTATGACCAATCATGCAATTATTACGTATTTTTAAATATGCGAGATGAAATTTCGAATGAGAAATGAATGAGAAATCTATATGTTACACAGTCATTTTTACAATACTAAAAATTTTAAAATTGTATACTTATGTTATTAAATGTTTATCTTATTTTATATACTTTATTATATTTGATTTTGCATGCTGAAGTACAAATAATTGATTCAAAAGTTTTATTTTCACATACAAATATATAATTATTATTCACTACATTAGACATTTTGTTGTATAATTGGCGTCTTACCTAGGTACTATTAAAAAAAAATTATATAACATAGATAATGTTTATTTACTTTAAAAAGCTGTAATAAAAATTAGCACAGTTTTTTACTCTTATAGATAGATGGCAACAACTTTGACTATACAAACATTGTACAATAGTTTGTCACTAGATAGCGTTAACAATTTCAGTTGTACATTATTTTATTATTGTATTTTATTACTTAATATTTTTAAAAGTATACAAAATGTGTTTAATGTATAGTGATTTTAAACAAATGTTGGTCCAAATCATTTCATTTAGAATACCTACCTAATTAAAAACGTTTAGATAGGACACGGAGGCAAAGTAT